AGGAGCTTCCTGGAGCCTGTGCCTGAGCCCCAGGCAGAGGCTGGGGAGGGGGAATACAGAGGTGCTTGTGACCTCACCCCCAAACCCTTATCCACCCTCATCCCTCCCCGACACAGAGCACTGGCGCACACATAAACGAAGGGAACTTCTACGTCAAAGAATTTTCCAGATCAAGTGAAGACTCACCTCTTTCTCTGTGTGGTTAATGATTTTGCTGGTTTCTCTTAAAACCACGAGTTGTATGCAAGAGGCGGCTCCCATGCTAGTGAAGTTTATAGGCCCCAAACTGGTTGCCAAAGGCTGCGGAGACCAATAAGCTCTCTCCCTTCATTCCCCTTTCTTTGTACGTATGGCCTCAACCTTAGCCTTGGCTCTTACCCATACATGTCTCAATTCTTCTCCTTTTAAAAAATATATATAGTATTTATTTGTGGTGGCAACTTACACAACCAAACATACATCAACTCACAATTTTGACATGACCCCGTCAGTGAGATTCAGTTATATGCTTCACACCGTGTCGGCACCCTCACGGTCTCTCCAGAGTGTTTCGTCACCATGAATTCAGGCTCCCTCTCAGCCCCATAATATTCTCATCTCTGATGTAGATGAACTGTTGTCAGTTTACACACTTACATAGAGATGGTTCTTTATAAGACAGTGTTCCAGGCAAACGTTCTTTATTAATGGGGTGAAGCTGTAGTTTAGCACTGCTTGTTCAAGGCTTACAGATTGTTTCCAGGCATCAATTTCCCTTCTGCCCCCCACCCCAGTCTCAATGGATATGTTAAGTTTTGGGCTGTGATACAAATTTGAAGTCCTGTTCCATGCCTTTCCTCCTTTTCATCGGCTATTTAAAAGGCTTCTTGATCAAAATGCTCCGTAACGGTAACAGGGCACGATATATTTCTTCTGGTCTCATGGCTCTAGTTTCTGCACGTATCTGGATTCTTGTTCCTAGCTCCCAGCTGGACTCTGACTCCTTATCTCTTCTGGTCACAGACAGCTGCTCTTCACTGCCTACCACATCAAGTCGACACCTTTTCCCTTCCCTTGCTTGGCAAATTGCATCCTTCAAGAACAGTGGTTCTCCACCTTCCTCAGGCCGTGACCCTTTCATACAGTTCCTCATGTGGTGGTGACTCCCCAAACAAAAAAATATTTTCGTTACTACTCCGTCATTGTCATTTTGCTACTCTTACGAAACAGACGACCCCTGTGAAAGGGTCGTCCGACCCCCAAATGGGTCGCGATCCACAGGTTGAGAACCGATGTTCTAGATCTTCTTTGACAAAAATCCTCGCTACTTCCAAAGGACCTCCCTTTATTAGCCATTTACCACCCCTCCATTCACATGGCATACTCCTCCTAGCCTCTCCACTTTGGGTCACCTGCCCACCACACTTGTCCTCTTCCCGCTGTCTCTCTAACCAGACTCAGGCCTATCTCCTTTAGGAAGCCTTCCTTTCTCCAAAGTCTCAGGGCTCTTCGCCACCATCCGTGGTCCAATACACTGTGATTGCCACTGTCAGGTCATTCTTGACTTGCCAGCGCTTATAGAAGCGTTTCCCCAGCTCAGCTGTGTGCTCCTCTCAGTTGTGCTCCATGAAATGAATAGTCCATAAACTCATATTCAGTAAACATGTCTTGCTCAATTGATTTCTCGAGGAAGGAATTTGCTGACACACTGACTTAATTTTTCTGAGGAACACTGCGTTTTTACAAGTCCTTAACACACCCCCACCCTCCACCCCCCAGATTTATTCCTATCATTGCTACAAAAAGACATGGGTCGCCTGAAGACACTTATGGCCGTTTTGAGGCTCCGACAGGAGCAGGGGTTGGGAAGTGTCCTTTGGACACTATTCTTGCTATTGGGTCAAAGAGCCAGCTAGGAGTTCAGCTGAGTTGAGTGCACTGGCCACTGCCTCTGGCCTCCGACAGAGTCCTGGATACATCCGTGTGCGGATTTTCTGGGTGCAAATATGGCTACAGGCTCCTTGATGGGCTGGATTTGGAAATGTCCCTAACAGCTTTTAGCAGAGGACTAGTGTTGGATAGGCCACAACGCATATATTGACAAAGTGACAAAGGTTCGATCAGTTTCCTTCACATGCCCATGGATGAGCCACTGAACATGGCCTTGGGAAGCAGACTGGGCAATTCCGGTCCTCAGAAAAGGTCTTGGCACTTTAAAAAAAATCATTTTATTAGGGGCTCGTACAACTCTTATCACAATCCATACACACATCAATTGTGTAAAGCGCATTTGTATGCACTTTTTTTGTGTGAAACAGCTGTGACCCCCCAGCACAGTGACTGTTGGCATTGCTACTTTTGCACATTATAGCCCTTATATAATTGCTACTGAGTACATTATAGCTGTCTGACTCCAAAGCTCAAGCCATGGCACAAAGACGTATGCCCTATACATTTCACTCGAAGGTTGAGAACGGAGCACAGGGAATTGGAAGTTTTATCAAACTATACCTTAATCCCATTTACAACATTGTCTCTCACTTCTTCCTATTGCCAAATATGGCAAAGCCTGGTCCATGTGCCCCGGGCACCCATCCTTCAGAAACAGAAAGGCAGAGAAGCAGACCCCGGTAGTCGGCAAAGACATCATCCTGACCAATTGTAGTTGAATTTGCAAAGGGCCAGAGTCATGAAAGCAACTATGTTTCCCACTTTCCTAAAGGAAGTGATTGTTCGCCATTTTCAGGGCAGATCTCTTTGAGGAACTGAGGAAAGCGGCGTCCCTCGTCCTCAAAAACAAACAGAGAAAATACCAAGGCAAACACGTCAACACGATTGCAATTTCAGAAAAATCGGGGCACCCCCTGTGTCTCATCCAAGAGCTACAGACCTCAGGTGAAAGACTCCTGCTTTTTATGCAAACCGAGTTCTATATTTCACAAAAGTGATCTCTTGGGGAACACCGATTCCTTTAAGCAACCAGCCAGCTGTGGGCACGGAAGGATCTTGATTGGCTTTAGGAAAATTCTGTTTTCAGATCACTTTGTGGGAGCGCATGTAATTACCCACATGAAGTGCATTTGCAGTCAACATCTCGGTATGGCCCATGTGGTCAAACATGACAATGGCACAAATGACCATCCTCAGAACCTGCCAGAACACGGAGGCACAATTTTCCATCCCTGGAGGTGGCACAGCTACTCAGCAGACACAAGTGGCTGCATTGGATAGGGACTGAACTGTACAACCCAGACAGCCCCCATTTGGCCCTATGAGTTCTAAGCCCCCTGGAAACCTGGAGAAGATGCAGACTACAAGTCCACTCCTGATAAGTAGTTGATAGTTCTTGAGAGGCCAGGCACAGTGGAGTGGGGTGGAAATCGTTAGATGAAGTATCTCTGGTGACTCAGACTGGGAGCCCTGGTGGCGTGGTAGGTTAATGGCTGGGCTGATAACCTCAAGGTCAGCAGTTTGAAACCAGCAGCTGCTTCTAAAGGAGAACAACAGGCTTTCTATTCTCATGAAAAGTTGCAATCTCAGGACCTCACAGGGGGCAGTGCAGTCATATAGGGTCACTATTAGCCGGAATTGACTTGATGGCAGTGACTTTGAGGTTTGGTTTTGGTTTTGGTGGCGCAGGCTTGGAGTCTATCCCCAGAGTTTCAAGTTAGCCTCTTGACATGGCTAATGCTATTCCAAATGGTTGTTTGCGATCATGAAGTAGGACCCCAACTCATGGTGTATGAGAGCCCCACGACCATTGTGCGCCATAGTTTTCCTTGGCTCATTTTTGGAGGGGAAGTCGATTGTCCAGCCTTTCTTCCTAGTTTATCTTAGCCGGGAAGCTCCCCGAAACCCGCTCAGCATCAGAGCACCACACAAGCCCTCTCTGACAGACGGGGGCAGGGAGGGGGCTATCTGCCCGAGGGGCCTTGCCTGGGAATGGAACCGAGCTTTCTGACTCAGAAGGTGTGAACTCTATGGCTGAGTCACTGCTGCCCCTGCTATTCAAACAACTGCCAACTCCCTGCCAACTCGAGGCCCTCTTGTTGTTTTACAAAATAGGCGATATCTCCACCCAATTCATTCCAAGGCCATGTTCCCCTGGCCTCCAGTGCTTACAGAAGACAAGGTCTTTCTGTAATCTTTAATAGCATTGTTAGTCATAGCCTCATATTTCTTCTTCTGAACGCAGCTCCCGTGTTGGAGCTGGGACCTCCTGACCCCCACTCCAAAGCCTGCTTTGTTTCAAGGCAATGACAGATTGTCGTATTTTTTGGATGCAATGTTCCTATAGTGTTTTCTCCTGAAGAGCCTTTTGAGTCACAGATAAGAGAGCCCAACGAGGACGGACTCAGGGCCCCATCGAGTTCCCTCAGAGATGGCCTCACTCTCTGAGCCTCAATTCCTTCCTCTGCCTATCCCCCAGGCACTTTGGAAGATGCAAATGAGATAGGGAGTCTGTATATGTCTCTGCGTCCTTTATGGACTGTTTAGCAAACAGGCGACCTCATTGCCGTTACTTCAAAAAGGCTTCAAACAAACTCCACGAGCGACAAAAATCTGTATTGGCCCTGTCAGGCTTTCATTCACTCCCTCACTCCCTCATTCTCATTCATTCATTCATTCATTCATTCAGGGAATTTTATCCAGGACTTTACCCAGGTAGTGTCTGTCTGTCTCTTTTTTTTAAATCATCTTATTGGGGGCTCATACAACTCTTATTACAATCCATCCATCCATCCATCCATCCATCCATCCATCCATCCATCCATCCATCCATCCATTGTGTCCAGCACATTTGTACACTTGTGGCAGTGTCTGTCACTTAAGTGAGTGTTTACAGAGTTGGAAACCGGCTTAGGAAAATAGATGGCCACCGAGACACTCTGTCTGTTCTGCCGGCTCTCCTCAGCCTCTTCCTGAGTCACCCCCACCAGACGTTGCTTGTTTTTTGTGCTATATGATGCCCACCCCCGAACATTCCAAGCCCACTGGAAAAAGACATCGCCGTTACTCACTGAGGACAAAGAAATCCTTGAGCCCCTTTTGCAATCTCTGAGGCAGCCGTCTTGCTTGCTTTCTCCTGGGCAGAGGCTGAGTCCTCTGTACCTGACTGCCTGGAGTGGTGGATGCCTTTGAGAAGATGGCTGAGCACGTTCACTGGCCTCCTGTCCCCGCCCCTCTTGTCTAATCTGCAAGTTATGAAAGACAATGTGTCAAAAGCACACCCCACCCCCCCACCTCAAATGTACCAGGTGTCTCCAACTTCCTCATGGAGCTGAAGGGATCTTGGAAATCTTTAGCTACATTTTGGTCTTCCTGCATTAGTGCCTGGAGCTGGCGAGCAATTCAGTTGAAGGTCAATGTTTTTTTCCTAACGTTATCCGACGGGTGTGTGGTATTCAGGCCTGAAAATGATGACTTTCCTCCAGATTGCAAACTCCCCAGGGTGCAGTTTGGAGATGGAAGCTGGCCCGCATTGTTTTTCTGATCAGTCAGCATAAATGAGCCTGTCTTTTGAGTTCAAGGTGGGCTCCGAATTGAAGCTTTCTTGAGATAAAGCAGACCACCCTGGAGCCGCTCCTCTGCCCGCCCCCGCC